TGGAGTATTCAAATGGGCAAAAATCGCTCGTATGCACTCACTTTATCTTTGCACGAAAACTCTTTGTGTTTCCGAGCAAAGAGGGGCAGCTGTGAGCACGTAATTTTTGCCCTATATTAATTACTCCCACAAATTCAAAACAAAATAAAATTTTCCATTATTTGCAATTTCGTATATTTTTGTAGCATTTTTGTTAATTGTTTTGCATTTTGTCTGCGCATGTTAATTTTGTTTAAATTATGAAAAATACAAATATATATGTGAATTTGCATCTAGGATTTAATTTAGCATTTTAAGATTAATTAGTAATTAAGTTATTTTATAAAAAAAGGAAAAAATCACAAAAATAGTTTAATTTGCACCTTTTGATTTTAACTTTGATTTTGAGTAGGTTTTCTTTTAGTTTGTTTTAATTAAATATGATAATTTTTATTTTAGGTTTAATTAGTATTTTTCAGGTTAATTTGGTTTTAGGTTTTAACTTCGATTTTTAGTTTAATTTTGAAAAAAAAGGGGGAAGAAAAGGAATTAAAATAGAAATAAGAGAAATTGAAAAGAATTGAAAAAGAAGAGAGCTGGATTTTGGGCCATATCTAGGTTAATTCGCCAGGCCCAAGCTGGTCCACCCCCATACCCGTCCAAATTGAAGCCCTGACCCGCCCAATACCTGGTCCACCCGTTACCACCCAAAACGACCCAGTTTAGGCCAAATAGATATGAGCCATCTATGTTACTTGATCGGACGACTGGGAACTAGGGAGTTACTTAATGCATATATGTCCAAACAACCCCTACCCCCAGTCATCTCCTTCAACTCTTCAAAGCCCTGCCGAGCTCCGCCCTAAGCCACCGCCCGCCGCCCGCCGGAAATTGCCTACGGCGGTGGTCGATGTCCAATCGTCCCCAAATTTACACTAGATCACCGCCTTACCCTCCTCTTTCCAAAACCTCCACTCCTCACGCCTCGAATCTGGATAGAATCCTACAATTCTTAGATCAAAAACATGAAACCCTAGCGCTGCCACGATGTTCTCCGGTGGCGGCGCCACCTCCAATCGACCCCAAATCTCATCCATGCAACCACCACCCTTTCCTCAACCCCAATCCACCACCATTTCTCTCTAAACTCTCACCAAATTAGTCTATCCTTGAATCTGAAAACAAAGAAGAAGTGAATCCCTCAAGCCTTCAAGTTGCCTTAAGTGATAAGGTTTGAAACGGGTATTGACCGTTTGTTTTCATTGAGAACATAAGGTTAATACTTGTTTCGAATCAAATCGGAGTTTGCTAGGGTTTATCGGTTTTGTTCATGATTTTAGAGGTATTCTTTCCGTCCTCTCTCGTATTCCTCGTTATTGAATTCAGTTTCTCCTGTTTCTCCTCCATTTCTATTTTTTTTCTTTTCTTTTCATTTTTTTATGTTTCTGTTGCTCAGAAGCTTAATTTCGTATGCAATAGCTTTTGAGTTAATTCGTTTTGTTTGTGGAAAAATTAAAATTATTTCGTTTTGTTTTCATAAGTTAGTATTAAAATTGTCAAGTAGCATGTGAGGTATTTTGTTTGAATCCGTTTGTTTAGCTCAGAATTGATGATAGTGAATTAAACTTGTTTGCTTGCTTTGTGGAACTACCTGAGTTCTTTGGACTCAGTCCCCTGGCCCTTTTCTTTGGCTTACCCATTTGTGACCTGTGGTCATTTGAACTAATTTGGGCTCCAAGGATCAGAGGCCCAAGAGCTACTCAGCTCGCTAATGCAAGCCCGAGTTTGGGGTTAGGTCGTTGGGTCAAATTGACCCATGCCCATTTGATTGGCTAAAGGTGAAATTCAGAAATAACAAGGGTATAGGGGGGG